AGCAGAGAGAGAGAGAGAGAGAGAGAGAGAAGAGGTGGTAATTTCCAGAAATGGTGGGGATTTGTTTGTCACCATCTCCTGCCCTTTGCTTTCTCCCACGAAACCGGCCTGTTTCTTCTCTTCATTTCTCTTACTCGCATTTCCTATCCTCCACAAGTATTTTTATTTTTTATAGGGTGCAGTTTGCATAAGGTTGGAATATTTAACAATCAAATTAAATGCACCCCTCAAACTTTATTTAATTTTAGCGTCTAAAATTTGTAGGATTCGCAAAATCTATTTTTTTTTTTTTATAGATGCGAGGCTCTCACCAATCAAATTAGAACCCACATTAATTTTTTTACTAAAAAAATGTTGTTCTGATGTCCAAATATACTCAAATTGAGGTACAGACATGTGAAAAAAAATAGATTTCAAGTTTTGAAAATAGTGCAGTTGTAGTGCACTTTTGAACCGTCAATTTTTAAGATTTTCAAGTTTTCATCGATCCGCTCGGCTTTCACTATTTTTTAGTGGAGATGATCAATGGGTGTAGTTTGTATACGGAGGCATCCGTAGGTGTAGAGATAAGATGCACCTTCAAATTTTACCATAATATATAATTTTGATGTAAAATGTTTTTAGGATTATTTTAAATCTATTTTTATATCTAATTATAAAATTTTAAATTTAAAAAATATTTAAAATAATAAATCTATAAACATATGAAATCTTGAAAATAAACGGTGTAGATAATATATTATAAAATATACTATTCTTTAAATTTAATTTTTTTTTATTTTTCATAATTATATATTTCAATGTCGAGATGAACAGTCAAAGGTTTTTCAACATTAAAATGACCATTTCCGATGGATTTTTTAAAGGAATCCGTAGTTATAAGGTAACAACATAAGGTTTTCGAATGTAAAAACATTTAGGTGCACATTAACCACGTGTACACTTTTTCCTTTTCTTTTAATTTCGAATATCCCATCTTTTCTAGAATGACAAAAATGCCCTTCTTTAATACGTGGACCGTTATTTATTCGCTGTCCGCGTTTCCTACGTCGGGTTTTTCAACCGCAGCACAGGAGAAACCATGTACTCTATTTAATGAGCGAGCGTTCTGTAAGGAGAAGTACAAAACTACCATTGGTTTAAATCGTATATTACATAATCACCCAGCGTACTTCGAAAACGTCAGCCTCTGGCCTCCTTTCTCTCTCTTATTCTTTTAAGTTTCGAACATGTCTAGAGAGGGAAACAGATCAAAGCTCCAGTTTATTTTTTGATAATAATCAGCAAGGGAGACAGGTTCCTACTTCTTTTTTTTAATAGATTAAAAAATTATATTTAAAAAATATTAATTAAGGGTGTTAATAGTAAGAGTGAATACCACGACACATTAAGTGGGTATGGGAATCATTAGGGCTAGAGAGAGAAACAGTTTTGAAAGCACATTGTGCGTCTTGATGTGCCTAGAGAGAGAAGCACCTCTAAGCTCTCTAAAATTGATGTTGAGAAAAAAGAGGTTTTTAAATGACATTTATTAAAAAGGGGGCGTTTTGTATGTTCTTTTGCAACATAGAAGTTTTATTTTTTTCTACCGTTCAATGGTCTATTTTTTATTAAAGGTTATTAAACGTTTGATTTTAGATCAGACGTCTTAAATATTTTAATTTTTATTTTTTTAATACAATTCTTTTGAATATACAATTTAGTACATGTCATCTTCTCATTGGGGTGCATCTATAAAAAATATTAATAATAATTTTTTTGATAAAAAGTAATGATCAAAATACTTTTTGAATTTTTCAAAAGTATTTTAATCATTTTATTTTATAAATAATTATCTTAAAAGACCCTCTTACATCCATATAAGATTTCAAATGATCACCATTAAATTTGATACATATCTTTAAAAAAATCAAGTCTCACACTATGCGATAATTTTTTTAAAGATCTGTACCAAATTTAATGATGATCTATTGAATCCTACACACATGAATATGGGAGGGTCTCATAAGATCATTACTCTTATTTTATTGAAAATATTTTTTTTATATTTTTTGTTAGTGCGAGTTTAATAGAGGAATGGATGTCCAAAATTTAGTATCAAAATAATTTATAAAAAAAAATAAAAAATAAAACCGTGACATTGTGATTGGGGCAATCTTAACCTTCCATTAAAAAATGAACGATTAGATAAAAGAGATGATAGAACTTTAGGGAAAACATGGAAAGCTTTCCCTTATCCAAATGACGATGGACTTTTTTATTTTTATTTTTTTTATTTGTTTACAAGGATATCGATTTTTTTGTATAAGGTGTTTGGGGGTATTTTAATCTTTTTTTGTTTTTTTTTGTTACTCATTTAATGTTAACTGGTCGTAGGAAGCCCAATGTCACGTCTCACGTGTGACGTGCCTGCCATCTTACCGTTAGTACGCCTTGTCAGTCCGAACTTTACGAAAATATCCCTACCTTTACCCTCACGGTACCATCTGGTGTAAGAGACCTGTGCTAAAAATTGAAGCATCCCTTAGAAAAGTTAAATGAGAACGGAATTGGATTTACATATTCATTCTCACCTATTGCATTTAAAAATCATTAACGGCTCTTCATCCCACTGAAATACCCTAAAAAAAAAAAAAAGTAAAGTAAAGATACACCATAAAAAAGAAGTTTATCAAAATTAAAGTAGGGTGTGGTTTTATAAGGTTGCAACCTTAAACAATTCAATCAAGGTGCTTCTCTAAATTTTATCATAACATCAAACTTTCGTGTAAAAAATCCTTAGGATTATTTGAAAAAAAATATTTATATTTAATTATAAAATTTTAAACTCTGAAAATGGTTAAAGTCAAGTAGATCTATAAACATATGAGAATCTTGAAAATGGATTGTCTAGGTAATATATTGTATAATACACTATTTTTGGGACTCAAAATCTATGTTTTCTTTATATTCATACATCTCAAAGTCAAGATGAATTAGATGGTTTTTCAACATTAAAACAACATTTTTCGATGAAATTTTGAGGTGCATGTGTAATTGTACATTTTAAGGTTGTAACCTTATATAAATTTTTTCCATAAAAGCATGGGAAATATATTAGAAAAAAGTATATGAAAATTGTTTCATGCCGGCTGGACCGCATTTTTACATATACGGTCCATAGGTATAAAGCATCCATCTTAAGGACGGATGCAAATAGGTGGTCCATCTAAAAACAATTGAAACTAACAATCCAAATGTGTTCTTAATAGAATTATTATTTCTAGCTTTTAAAATCTATTTTTTTTTCATATTGATGATCTCCATGTTAGAGATTACAAGTCTCTAAAAATTAAGTTAAAAAATCCATTTCAAAAAAGAGATTTTTAAGAGGCGCCTCATTTTTACATGGACTCATAGAAACGAGGTCCAAAAGTTTATATAAAGTTACAACTTTCGTACTATAGAACTAAGGTGTACCTAAAAAAATCATGTAGAAAACAGTGTTTCAAAGTTGGAAATCCTCCAAATTTATTATCTCAATTTTCGAGATGTATGGCTATAAAGGAATGAGCTAATTTCAAGTCCTAAAAATATTGGATCTTGTACGAAGTTATTTGGCCCGTCGACTTTTAAGATTTCGAAGTATTTATAGATGTACTATATTTTCGAATTTCATAATTAGTATTGAACATGGATTTTTAAGCCATCATAAGATTTTTTACACTGACACAAACATCTTGTAACAAATTTTATAGTCATGCCTTACTAGTATGGTATAAAGTGGACACCCTATACAAACCTTACCCAACTAAGGGAAGGGAAAAGTTTATACAGAGTTGAGGCTCTAAACAATCAAATTAGAGCCTACCTCAAAAATTTCACTACAATAAATTGTTTTGATGCCCAAATATCCTCAAATTGATCATCTCAACATTAAGATGCATGGACATGAGAAAAAAATGGATTTCAAATTTAAGAAATAGTGTATTTTATAACACATTTTTGAACCGTCAATTTTCAAGATTTTCAAGTTTCATAGATCTGTCGATTTGCACTATTTTTGAAGCTTTAAACTTTATAAATGAAGATGAAAATATATTTTAAGGCTATCAAAAAGATATCTAGTATTGAAACCACATTTTTTGACACTCTTTGTAAGAGGCTTTAATTTGATTGTAGAATTCTTGTTCATGTTTTTAATCCAACTTTAAATAGTCCATCATTTAAAAAAAAAATATTCAAATAGGACAGCAAATAACACATCAAAATGGTGTTTAAAATTTATCAAATTGCGTATAGGATAAAATATTAAGCCAAAAAATATTCTACTCGTAGAATGTCCATTTACTCCTTCGGGTAAAACCCACGTAGTATTTATTTAGATATAGCCTCTTCAACTCATGCATTAACCTGAATAAAAAGAAGGAACAAGTTTATATAGAACCGAGACTCTAAACCATCAAATTAACGCCTACCTCTACCTCAAAAATTTCACTAGAAAAGGTTGTTTTGATGCCCAAATATCCTCAAATTGATCATCTTGACATCAAGATGCATAGACATGAGAAAAAAAATGGATTTCAAGTTTTGGAAGTAGTATATTCTATAATGCATTTTTGGACCGTCAATTTTCAAGATTTTCAAGTTTTCATAAATCTATTGATCTTACACTATTTTTTAACCTTTAAACTTTATAAATAAATATAAAAATATATTTTAAGGCTATCACAATGATTTTCAGTATTGAAACCACATTTTTCAACACTATTTGAAAGTAAGCTCTAATTTGATCCAAGTGTTAAAAAAATCAAAATTTCCATTTTTTTTTAGAATAATCATCTAGTGATCCTTAAATGATTCCTAAAATTTCAGATCAAAAAAATCCTCTCCAATAGATATTCTGACCAGAGTAGTATACCATGCTTCCAAGGAACCATAATATACGTGCTCAAATATTAAATAGTTCAGCTTCTGACTATATATTCATAAATTTTCCTAAGAGTATGAATATCTAAATATGTAAGCTTTTAACAAAAAGTAAAGCCTCACCCTTGATCCCGCTAAATACGAGTCAAAAACCCTTATGATGGCCTTAAAATCTATTTATGCTCTTACTATAAAATGTTGCACATCTAAAGAATATGTAACATTTAACACCACCACATTGGTATCTGAAAAAACAGGTAGAGGCATGTCTTCCCCCCCCCCCCCACTGAATTACCCAAAATTATAGTAATAATTAATGACTCCAATAACGGCTACGAAGTGCACTATACTGCTCAAAATCTATTTCGTTAGGTTCATAATTATTGAAGCCAAGAATATCATTTTGATAATTATATAACCTAGGTCTTGTATAATTTTTTCCCTTTGATGGTGTAGCCCACTCGTATTACTCCACGCCATGAGGATAATATGGTCATTTTTTATAATTTTGAGCAATCCTAGGTCCTACTAGGATTTTCTTATACGATGAAAAGTTAGAGAGCGAAAGGTTGAAAATGTCAAAGGTAGATATATGTAACCAACAAGGCAACATCACTTTGAGAAGATAGAATGAAGCCTCACACAAGGACAGGGAAAATGAACAGTATTTTCACTTATAGGCTCTTCACTGTCTGATTTTTTTTTGGACAATTGGAAAAAATCAACCGCCACAGACCTAGTAAGTCTATAACGATCCATTTTTCACATTAAACCGCAATGGACCTATTAACTTTGCCTTAAAAAATATATCTCTATCAAAAAATATCTCACATTGTCAACAAACAATCACAGATAACTACGATATCCCTATTCTCACTTTGAGCTGCTAACATGGCAAAGATTGAACAATTAACCTCTCTATAATGAATTAAGGGAATTTCACCTCAAGGTCACAATACTTGAGTGACTAAATTCCTTCACTCATCTCAGTTAACAAAATCTTCTGCTCAGTGCTCCTCTTTCAGTAAGAAGCACCATAAAATCCACAGAACAATGGCCTCAGAACCACCTATAAGACTCAGCCCAAGTAAGATCCAGTGTCATGGCCATTTGGCAGCCGTTCCCAAAAATGACCGCATGAAGCCTTCAAACCACTCATGAAAACAAGAGCAATGTTGAGTGGCCTGCTGCTACATTTTTGTCGTGTGATCGTGTAATTGATCGTATCTCAAGCGCTTTCAACCATATTCATTCATTCTTCACCGACAATCTCTCTAGCAAAAACGATCAGAGAGAAAGATTAAATCATTAAAAATACGAGTTGAAAATTGGCGATTTAATTTGTGATCTCAAAAAAGCATGCTGAAATACAATGACTTACGGATGCAAGTGCTGGAAGAAAATGAAAAGCCATGAAAAATGGTTATGGAAGAGAGATCTAGAATGTCCATACTTATCAATTCATAAGTGACGATCATTGAGGTGCCCCATAGTGACATGTTCAGAAAGCGAGGTCCAAAACCTCTGTAAAAGCCTTTCCACCCATCTTCTTTGAGGAGATTCCTTGCTGTCTTTAAGACTGTTGGCCTCCCCTCCCCATAGTCGTCCATTACCTGTGTAAAAGTCAAATTATTATTATTGGATGAATGAGGAAAAAAATGCTGCATTCATATAGGCATCCAACATACCACATATGCACATAAATGTTACATACGCATTTGTCATGCATGCTTTTTCGCATAAGGATTAGTGCATGGCACATTATCTCAAGATAGATGCATGCATGTGTTGTATGCTCAAGTGCATCAAACCACACGGCAGTAGAACCATGCATACATGAACATGGACATGAATCATACATCGGAAATTTGAAAATTCAAAGAGCCACAATGGATTTCATGCAGCAATTAAATGGGAGTAGGTACCTATCAGTGTCATAGAAAAAACCACTTCCAGAACTTTTAATGCCCATGCCCTTGTTATTATTATTACTAGTATTACTACTACAATGAGAGAGAGAGAGAGAGAGAGAGAGAGAGAGAGAGATAGAAGAGAGAGAGAGAGAGAGACTAGATATACTAAAGAATGTTATGATTTCAGAACCCTCTTTGATGCGAAATCAGAAACCCTGAAAGCTAGATCCCACTAGAATCATGTACTTAACCGGTTAGAAACAAAATCTGATACGAGAAATAAAGCATGTAACTCAGACCACAAGAACACAGAGATTATGTGGTTCACCCCCACGGGGCTATATCCATGGACATAGCAAATTGAAAATCCACAATACCGACATGAGTTGCATCGCATATTTTGGGACACAAAGTTATCTCTAACCCTCAACAAAACCTAGTCAAGCAACCCTTTTAGACCCGTTTTCCCTACCGACATCATCAACCAATCTTCCATCTCTAATCCATTGCTAAAATCATGGTCCATTAAGAGAACCTTGAGAGGAACTGAGACATTTTCTCACTAAAAGGAGAGACTACCTAAAATTTCTATACGAACTGCTTCTCTACAAGAAATCAACTCCTCAGACTACAAGAGGGACCATTTCAGTGTCTCTCCATAGGACGCTCACTTCTCTGTGTAGAGGCCTTGCCTCCAATGCATAGGAGCCCCTGCCACTTTCTCTCTAAAGGAAGTCATCTTTCCCATATAGTGACCTAAATTATACACATTATTTCCTCCCTCATTCTATATATATAAGGTTATGAATCTCATACCAAATGGAAATCCTATTGATGTTACATATATCTCAAACTTAAGATATAACTAAGAGTACTAATCTAGTTGAACTTCAATACGTGGCCCAACTAACTCAGGAAACTTATCAATAATTAATATTAATATCAATATCAATCCCGTATCATATAGAATTTCCTCATAAGGGTGATTTTGGATATCAAAATATCCAACAATCTCAACTTTGATATCAAAATCACCTACTCACCAAGCCAACATCCATCACATAGCATTATGATTTTTTCCTTGTTGCCAAATGACATTTGTCTTTCTTGCTGAAAAAGATTGTGCCTGCCATCATATTTCTCCACCTCAAACAAAACACTTGTATATTTTGCCATATATTTTTCTTTGACTGAATGTACAACCTGATACCGCTTGTTAGGATTTGAGAACCTCTTAAATGCAAAAACAAGAACCTTGAAAGTTGGCTCCCATCAGGATTGTGTACTTAACCGGCTAGAAACAAAATTAGTAAGGATATGAACAATAAAATGGGAAACAAAACATAAAACACACACACCACAAGAATACAAAGATTTACGTGGTTCATCCCAAAGAGCTATATCCACGGACATGACAAACTGAAATCCACTATACCAATGAGAGTTACATCATAGATTTTGAGATACAGAGTTGCCTCTCTAACCCTCAACAAAACCCACTTGAGCAACTCTTTTAGACACACTCTCCAAAAACTGATATCACCAGCCGAACTCCCATCTTTATTCCACTCTCCAGGAAGAGAACCTTGAGAGCAACCAAGATTCTTTGACTAAAAGGGGAAACCCCCACGAAATCCCCATGGGAACCACTTCTCTAGAAGAAATCAGCCTCTCACTCTGCATGAGACACCATCACAACGTTTCTCTCCACAGGAAACTCTCTTTTCTTTGTGTGCAAGCTTTGCCTCTCATGCACAGGAGGCCCCTACCTCTCTTTCTCTAGAGGAAGTTATCTTTCTCGTATGGTGACTCAAATAGGGCAAACATATTTTTTCCTCTTTCCATATATATATATAAGGTTATGAATCCCATACCAAATATGAATCCCATTGATGTAACATATATCTCAAACTTTAGATACAAGTATATATGCTACATTAAAAAAGAAGAAGAAGATATATATACATAACCAAGAATACTAATCTAGTTAGACTTCAATGGGTAATACCAACAAACTAAGGAAACTTATTAATATCAATATTAATTACATACATTAAGGGATTTCCTTTTGGGGGTGATTTTGGATATCACAATATCCAATAAACAAAACCAGACAAAATCCCACCCATCCTTTATCGCTTTGTATTATGAGAAACAAATTGAGTCCAAATTATGCAAAGGAATAGCCAAATTTCAGATAATTCAGAATCTTGCACTAAATTCAGCTATTATGTATGTAAACACATATCTATGCATGTAACATTGTTGTGTGTCCATCTCTTCCTCTCATGGTTCCAAATGTTCACAGATATTAAAGTGTCCAGTTAAATTGATTAACACCATACTCCAATTAATAAAAACAAACAGCAGAAAAATAAGAAAGTCATTGTGCTTTGACTGTTCAATAGCTAAGCCAGTTTGGCACACTAATAAATGACATGGGAGAGACAGAGACTCACCTGAAGCCGTGTCTTTATTGTATCAAGTGGAGTGGTAATTAAAGATGAGCAAGCCCCGGCCATCGTTCCTGCCGCAGCTTGAACAGTCACCATCTCCAAGTGTGATGGTTTTTGTTCTGTTTCATCTCCATAACCCAGTCCCCTAACATCAGAAAAAGCAATATCAATCGTAACATATTTGATGCTTAATAACTAGGTAAAAGAATGATCTAATCTCTCTCTCTCTC